CCACTTATATATATATATATATATATATATATATATATATATATATATATATATATATATATATATGCAAGGAAGATGAGCAATAGCGAACTTCAGCAATCAACAGGATCATACACACGAGACCAGACAGTCGTGACCTTGAACCAAAAGCAGAATTGCATCACGATTTCACCAAATAAAAGCACACCAAAAGCTCAGAATTGACAATGCTGGAATAGTCTCATCATCATCATCAACGAAGAACCAATGTTGATATCCTATCTGGCGCTTGGCGCCGAGACTACAGATGGCAGATCCTATCTAGCCTACTCTACAATGCCGCTGATGACGTCAACAGCTTCCCGAAGTACGAGCAGATCGCGGCCAATGCCGCACGCTTCAAGCACCAGGTATGTCTCTCGTGTCACTCACAACCTTGTTCCCCAACTCACAGATGCCACTTGCACCCAAGGACCACCATGCGCCCCATCCAGCATACAGCAGCGCAGCTCGGCTATGGCTGCCTGCTCCTTCCAACTCGCCCGTGAGCGCATGAGCCTGGCAGTCAGTGGCAGGTGATAGCGCAACAGCACTTGCGCACAAAGCAGCCAGTGCCCAAATGTCCAATGCGTGGGCAGACCCTTCCCTATATCGAAGTGGCCTGCTGCTGGGTGTTGTGCTGCGGTGCTGGGCCCCGGCCCAGAAGCTTCCAGTAGGCCCAGGGACGTTGAGCCTCAGACTGAAGGAAACAGGCCCAGGGCCTGATGTGGTTACCAGCACCCAACTGCCCTCAGCCTTTGTTTGGTCCACTTTGTGTATCCGGCCCAGGCCTTGCCTCAGTTACATGCAATGAAAGGCAGCCTGGGCCTGGGTGCTTCCAACCGACTGGCGCTGCACAACTGCCTTAATTTCCCCAGTTGCGTAGTAGGGCAAAATAGGTCTTTTGGGATCTGTCGAGCCTGCCTTGACTTAGGGCGGTCGACGCTGTTGCAAATAGGGGCCCGGTAGGGCTTATCGAGGCCTTGTGCCTGACATTCCCTCCTCCATACTTCGCTAGTCCTCTGAGAAGTTCAGTCTTCGATAATCTGGCGCTTTCCTTTCTGCACAGACTTCTCATAGTGAGTGACTACTTGTGGAGCGGTCTGCATCAGTTCCTCTCTTGTGAACCATCTATCCTCCTTTGGATCAGCGTGATGTCTGAACCGAACTCGATACTGCAACTTCGGTTTTGGAGGACGTCCTCTGCCTGTTGGTCTTGGAACTGGCATCTCCCTGTGATCAACAATGTCGTCCATGTCGACCTCTCCATCCATGGTTGGGGGCAGCATTGAGCGACGAGAAGGAAACTCATCTGTTTCTTTAAAAAGTGCAAGCTTTGCGACGTGGAAAACAGGGTAAATGCATAAGTGACCAGGGATACGAATAACATAAGATGGTCCATCTGATTCATTCCCCACAACATCTAGAATCTCCCATGGTCCAAAGTACTGTGGCATTAGCTTACGGGAAATCCCGTACTCCTATCCCAGTTCTGAGGACTTAACCCAAACTCTTTCTCCTACCTGGAATGTAGATGGGCGGCGGTGTTTGTTCTCAGACTCTATCATCGCCGCCTGTGCTTTGTGCATCTGTTCGACTGTCTGCTGCATTAGTTGCTCATATCGATAAGCAAACTCCAAGGTCCCTGGTGCAACAAGAGAAGATGAGGGGCTAAGCCTGACCCATCTATGGAAGACAAAAGGAAGGATGAGTGGCCGTCAGTGGGATGATGCTGGGATCGTTCTTCTAAAATGTTCTTGTAATTCCTCAGGTTGGGTAAAGCCAACAGTGGATTCCAGATTCCGAGGAAAGGCCTGCTAGAGGTTATTTCTGGCCCCATTCCAACTCCTGACTGAATGAAAGTGCTTTCGAAGGAAGGTTCGAAAGAATTATAAGGCTTGAAAGTAAGCCTCTTTTTGTTAAAGGCTTGAAAGTAAGCCTCCGTTTGTTAAAGGCTTGAAAGTAAGTCTCTGTCTGTTAAAGGCTTGAAAGTAAACCTTTGTTATGTTTGAAAGTAAGTCAATGTTTGAAGTTATTGTAAGTAATAAAGTATGCATGGAGTATTTCACGAAAAAGTATCCAGATGATTATAAAAGGAAAGAAAGATGAACGACGAAAATGTCGTTCGTTAGGTATGAGTATGTAAGATCTGGATTAATTCCAGGTATATTGTGATTATGTAATATATTTGGTGAGATTTTATAAAGACTTCTCCTTGTATTGCCTTATGGTAAGTGACGGGGACGTCGCTTAATGGGGGCGGGGAAGGCTGTCGGGACAAAAACCCCTGTGAGGGTTTCTGCCCGAGTTTTTCAAGGTCAGACACTGTCCGACTCTTTTCGTTGAGGAACATAATGAGATTGACGTTGCCAAAAGTTATTCAGACCAATCCTATAACTGAGAGGCTTAAAGTCTGACGTTGATGACATATAACGTCGTTGACGTGTGACGTCATCGACGTTCGTTCGAAATAGCGGGAGTCGGCAGTACAACCTGTCGCCCGTGGTTCCCGACAAGGCCGCACTGGTGCGGGGTCATGGAAAGACTAAAGCTAGACCTAGTCTACCAAAAATAATGTCGCGCGACTGCTAAGCCGCGCGATTCAGGGCCTAAGTAAGCTAAAAAGAGGGGTGCACCGGGTATAGAGCCGCGGCGCAGGGAGAATAGGAGGAATGTTTTTTTTTTTTAGGGCCGCAAGGGTTGACAGAACGATGCCAAGGTCGCGCGGCCAGCTGAGCATGCAGGGCCACAAGCAGGCGAGGCCTGCAGGGCCGAAGGCAGGATGGGCCTGCAAGGCTACGGGCACGCAAAGCCTGCAAGGCCACGACATGGGGAGAACTGATTGGGCAAGCTCTTCATATAGAAGAGCTGCTCTTGTCACAGTTGTGATAGGAGCTAGCCAGTAGGTTACAGTGCCAAACTCTTACCTGGCAGATACCAGGATCAAATCCAGCACGGCGCACCACTGGGCTAGCTCCTTTTGGAGCTGGCCACCTTGCTGTCAGTGCAGTCGACTTCGACCGTCAATTGCGGAGATCGCACGGCTGAGATCGGCCGCGGAGAGATCAGCATGACCCCTGCGCAAGGATGACACGTATTAGTTGTAAAAGAAAAAAAAAAGGGTTTTGAAATTTGTTTTTCGCATCCATTAGGATTCGAACTCGGGCCTCCGCGTTGGGGAACGTGGCTGAAAAACCACGAAATGGTGAAAGTTGGCATCAAGCCAACGAAGAAAAAAAAAAAAAAAAAAATCTAATTATAACTAAAGCGCCATGTGGCGCGATAAGAAGTGACGGGGACTTACAGTCCCCACGAATGGTGCAGGTGCCCATGAAAACGGGCGGCCAATCTGCAAGGTAGGGCTTTTTTTTTTTTTTTTCTCTCGTTTTTTTTAGATTCTCATTAGATTTTTTTTCTTAGGATTTTTTTCTTAGATTTTTTTTATTTTGTTTTTGGTACTCAACGTCAGAATACCCGTTCGGCTCTTCAGCCAACTCGTTGCAGGGCTGCCGCTGTCTTTCACGAGTGAGGCATAACCAGACAAAATGAGTTCCATGGAAGTCAAGCCGGCCGAGCCCGTTGCCTTTGTCCCGGAGTCGGTCCTTAAGAAGAGGAACCGAGATGAAGCCTGGGCGAAAACTCGGGCTGACGAGCTGCGCGAGAAAAGGACCAAGTACAAGAAGAACAGAGTAGTCATCTTCAAGCGGGCGGAGCAGTACATCAAGGAGTATCGTGCCCAGGAAGTCGATCTTGTCTGTCTGAAGCGGTTGGCGAAGCTCAAGGGTGGGTTCTATGTTGAGGCGGAGCCAAAGGTCATGTTCATCATCAGAATCAGAGGTATTAATGATTTGCACCCCAAGACGAAGAAGATTTTGCAGCTTCTAAGGTTGAGGCAGATCTTCAACGGTGTGTTCTTGAAAGTGAACAAGGCCACCATCAACATGATCCGTAGAGTTGAGCCGTACATCACCTATGGGTACCCCAGCCTCAAGAGTGTCAAGGAGCTTATCTACAAGCGTGGGTACGGGAAGGTCAACAAGATGAGGATCCCTTTGACGGACAACGCCATCATCGAGAAGGAGCTCGACAAATTCGGCATTATCTGTATGGAGGACCTGATTCACGAGATCTACACTGCTGGTCCCCACTTCAAGGAGGCGAACAATTTCCTTTGGCCGTTCAAGCTCAACTATCCTCTCGGAGGATTGAAGAAGAAGAGATTGCATTATATTGAGGGTGGTGATGCGGGTGACAAGGAGACGAAGACCAATGCGCTCATCCAGAGAATGAATTAGGTTTTCTGTTCCTTGGATCTTTAGGTTTTAAGTGGTGTCGATATGGAGATCACGGTCAGCTGAAAGATGTGACGTCATAGGATGGTAATGAGGTATGCGTCCGCGTGTTGATGTCGGTCTGCTACGCCGATCAGATGGGAACATGCATAGAGGCGAGAAGAGAGCTTAGCACAGATTTGTCCGCAAGAAAAATTGCTGCAAACGCGATTATGTCTGAGCAGAGTGTGTCCGAAAACCCCTGGTTTAAGAGCTGTGGTGTAGGGGACGATGTTCATGAAAGGAGATGTTGGGCTGTAGGGTTATGGTCCACATATCTGAGTGTCACTGGCTGTGCGTGGATTTTCGGCTACTGGATTTTTTCGATGAATGTGAACAATTTCGCTGAGCGGGTCTGGAACGGTCCGCCGATCTTGTAAAAAAAAAAAAAAAAAAAAAAAAAAAAAACGTTCGTTGGAACGAACGGGACAAAAAAAAAAGAAAAAAAAAAGGGGGAAGGACAAAGACATGACTGTGCAGACTGTCTCGTCGGACTTCCACCGATTCATCAGGAGGCTGTGCCTCGACTATCCATCCAAGGATGGACAATACTGAATGAATCTTCTGCTAAAACGTGGTACTATACAACCACTACTACTACTAGTACTACTACTAGTACTATTACTAGTACTACTACTACTACTACAACTACTACTACGAGGGAGTCGCAACGGTTAACAGGTGAGTCGCCAACCTTGCGACCTTTCCCCCCCCCTTCGTCCGTTTCCCTTACTGCGCCCGTTCGTTTTGAAACGGGCAGCAGGATTATAGCAGGCCCAAACCTGGCGCCATGGGCGTCTGGGTACGGGCGTGCAAGGGGCAGGGGAGAAAAGTTCCTGCTGGGCTAGTCTTTAGCTTGACTCTGTGAGGGGCGGCCGTTCATTTTGAGCAACAAGTTGCCCCCTCACAGGGAAGAAAGAAGGGAAAAAGTGAGTAACGGCCATGTACGTGGCCGCGGAGATAGAGTAGGTACAGGATATAGGCAGAAGAAAGAAAGAGGGGAGGAAAAGAGTTGGGAAAAAAAAAAAAAAAAACAGTAACGAATTCGTTCGTGACCTGAGTCCAGATGCAGGGCAGAGAAGCATCTGGACCTTGAAGTGACATCCGACTGTTGGTTTCAACATTCTGCTGAGAATGGCTTCATACAACCACTTCGAGGCTGCACCTGGCTGGGGGTGGCGGCCGGGTGCATTGCCAAAACCTGGGACTTGATGTTCCTAGTAGAACATCAAGATTCCCAGCCCTCGATCGAAGTTCAGATCGAGGGCTAGGCTCATCCCCGTTTTTTTGGTTGAGCCTCAAGTGGGTGCCCACCACTCAAGCCAAGCTATAAAAGCAGGGATGACCAACAACATCCTCACTCCGTTGAGGTGCTGCCCGCATTCTAATTGAGTGTGGAGTGGAGAGCAGCATTATGCTGGCTGCTGGAGGAGGAGCTGTTGGTGGAGTGAGAGAGAGCTGAGTGGAGGTCTCCAAGTGAGGGAGGAGGATTGCTGGAGGTGGCCATAGCTGTGAAACACAGCCATAGCCGCCATCTCAGCAAGGTTAGGAAAGGAGAGGCTGCCATAGCCACCGTGTTGCATGGTACCAGCGGGAGGTGCTACTGTTCGTGGCAAGTCTTCGGCAAGTGGTGCAGGGGAAACTCTGCCCGTTTTGCATGGCGGCGGCAAGTCTTCGGCAAGTGGTGCAGGGGAAACTCTGCCTGTTTTGCACGGCGGCGACAGGTTTTTCAGCAAGCGGTGCAGGGAAAACTCTGCCCGTTTTGCACGGCGGCGGCAAGTCTTTGGCAAGCGGTGCAGGGGAGACTCTGCCAGTTTGGCACGGCAACGACGACGTTTTTTTACGGTGTCGCGGAAGCGCTGCCGTTTTTTTTGCGGCGGCGGCAGTGCACTCTAGGTATGACGAAATTAACGCAAGCGGATGATGAGGGGACCCCTGCGAACATAGTTTTCTTCTCTCTGTGAAGGGGGAATTTCATGTTGCCCCTTGCCCCTAATGGTTAGGGTATAGGGTTGGGGCCGCCAGTGGGGGTCTGGCTAACACAAAGACCGAGACCTGCCAGTTCGCAGCCAGTCAGGGTTAAATTTTTCCCCCCCGGAAGACATTTTTCGTCATCGTCGTTATACCGGTCGTTCATTCCGGCTGGTTGGTCGTTGGAAGGCTCCAAAAATTCGCAGCCCGTCAAGGTTGCGTTTCCCCCCCGGAAGACATTTTTCATCGTCGTCGTTATACCTGTCGTTCATTCCGGCTGGTTGGTCGTTGGAAGGCTCCAAAAATGCAGGCACGTGCAGGCAGGTCACTTTAGGGGCTAGTGGCAGCTAGTGGCAGTTTCTTTTGGACCGGTAGCTGCTCGTGGGACCGTGCACGCGCACAAGGTTGGCGCAGGCCGCGGTCCTTGAACGGTCCTTGAGCGGTCCTTGAGCTGCGAATTTTAAAAAGGAAAGGGCGCGGGGGCGGGGGCGGAAAAGGCCGAAACGACGCTTGCCATAGATGTGTCTAAATGTGGAGGCATTCAACGCCCCATTCAGACACATATGTGCCCCGGTGTTCTGCGTGCCATCTCAATCGCTTCGGTGCCATCTGTCTCTCTCTCTCTCTCTCTCTCTCTCTCTCTCTCTCTCTCTCTCTCTCTCTCTCTCTCTCTCT